TTCCGTGACAGATCATTCATGCTAGGTCATTATACACTAGGGTTTCACAAACACAAAACACGGACTTGAGAAGGATGAAAAAAAAAAGTTGTATTGAAATTTGTATATGTGCCTAATTTATTCTTCACCGTGACTGGTAACAAGACGACGTCACTCGATCTTTCTGTGGTAATCATTAAAGAAGACTGTAGGCTCTGTCTTAGTGTCTTTCTTTTAGAAACAATATCTGGCCAGACCCCAAAGGTTTTAACTGTGTGCAAGCATCCTAGAGTGAGGGACTCTTCCTTGTTTTTAAGAACAACACCACAACATGGTGTGAGTTATGTATGTATAATTCATAATTTGGTAAGGAAAGATGGAATACCCACATCCTTGACATGGTAGTTACTTCTGAAGAGGGAGGTGGGGAATGGGAGAGAGAAATGGAGATCATCGGCTGATATATAGTTTTAGTTGTCCCTTAAAGAGCCTCGAAGCAGAAATTGTATTCCGAATCTGTACATTTGTTATTACTTGTGCATTTCTTTCTTCCTGTATTTTTTTATTTTTAAAATTTTTAGAGAGGTTTTTGCTATAGGGTACATGCGCTCGTCAGAGAGACAGAGAGAGACAGAAAGCGAGAAATCAGCCCCTGGGGGGATGGTCACCCTGCAGTCCCTTCTCCTTTAGTCTCCTCTTGGGATTTTGGGCACCCACGCACAAGCACCCAGTGCGAGTTTTTAGCTGCTAAATCCGGGACTCAAACCATGTTTGACTATGTGGGAGTCCAGCTACATAACCATTATGCCATCTGCTGGTTCCTTTTTATTCTTTTTTTAATTATAGGAAAAGGAAAATTAGACCAAAGGTCAAGAAACCCACAAGTTAGTCTGGGCTCAGTTTTTCTGTGGTAAGAAAGGCAGAAGAGGGGAGGGAACTGGGAAGATAAAATATGATTCTAATAGGGACCGGCAGTTGGGGTAATGGCTATGTCTTTGAACTTCCATCTAGTCAACTGCGGTTTGAGTCCTGGACCCAGTGGCTTAAACTCAGGCCAGGCGCATGTGCATGCATGCCCAAGATCCCGAGAGGAGAATGGAGGGGAAGGGATTGCAGCGTGACCATCCCCCCCTGGGGGGTGATTTCTCGCTTTCTGTCTCTCTCTCTCTTTCTGGTGAGTGCATGCACCCTATAGCAAAAACCTCTCCAAAAAAAAAAAAGGCTGGCCCTATAGAAATAACTCATTTGTAAAAAATATATTAGTGTCTGTTTACAGGTAGTTTTTTTTCCAGGTTTTTGCCACAGAGTGCATGCATTCGCCACAGAGAGACAGAGAGAGACAGACATGAGAAACCACCAGAGGGGATGGCCACACCACAATCTCTCCTCCTCCGTTCTCCTCTCAGGATTTTGGGTATGCACACGCATACATCCAGTGTGATTTTCGAGCTCCCAGGTCCGGGACTTGAACCACGGTCGGCCATATGAGAATCCAGTGCCTTAACTACCATGCCACCTACTGGTCCCTTATTTCATTTTTAATTGATAAACAATAGTATATCTTTATGGGGTACAATGTGCTGTTTCAATACATGCATACATTGTGATAGCAAATTGGTCTAGTTAGCATATCCATAACTTTAAATATTTACCATTTTGTT